GCTGTACATTATCCAATTGTTGAGCACAGTATTTTCTATTGATTTTAACAACTTACTATTTGCTGACTATTACCTAAGCTTTGGTGAAGGCAGCAGTTAAACACAGAAAGTTTTCCTGCTAACCAATCCTATTAGGAAATTGCTGTGAAGAATAAAACTGATCCTTCCTTCTTTATCAAGCCCAGGGGTACAAAAACCTTCAGTTAACCCCTGGCCACCAGATTTTTGCAGATTTGGTTGATCAACTGTTGGTTGCTGGCTAAAGAGCTGAACTGAAAGGACTCTTTAATCAGGTAACAGAGCATCTGACTACATTTTACATAATTGACAGTATCATATTGACAGCCAAAATGTATCTTTGATGATGTTTCTTCTGTGAGACATGGTCTTTAAGCAATAGGATTTAGTGTCTGACTTCCCAGTTGCTGTTGGACATATTAAACAACAGCTGACAAGAGGCATCAGGAATACTCTGTGCAAAACAGTTTCTGTGTCTTCCTGCTTGAATTTTGCCTAAACTGGTGTCCTAGAAAATTTTGTGAATGCTGAATCCACACATCACCAATAAAAACTCCACCTTTATCTTCATTATTTTTTCTTGTGTGCCCCATTTCAAGTCTGCCTGGCACTCCTGGGAGTTTGAATCTTCCAGCTGAGTGTCATTTTGTGACAGCTTCATGGAGTCTTCCATTTCTGTGAATTTAGTATGCTTTGGAACAGGAAAGGGGATTATTAACGCTCTTTTCTTCAGCTGAAGTCAGATCTTGTAAGAATTTGGTTCCTAAAGCAGGTTGGACCCAGGTGAAAATTGAGGAGGCAGTTTCTGAAGCACATGTGGGTACTTCAGGCAGGGAGGCTGCTCTTTCTGTGGCTCACCAGCCCTCTATGAACTGCTCTGGCATAGGCATTTCCACTGGGAATGTTTTGTCAGGCTGTCCATACTAAAACCAAAATATTGTTGGGATTTTTTTTCTTTAAATAACAAGAAATAAATGAAAGAGGAGTCAGTGATCTGAAAGTCCTTATAGATTTGGGCTGCAGATGTAGTGCAGTTTTATCTTTCAGATTTCCATTGCACCTCCTCTGGAGTGTTTTCTGCTCTTGACCCTTAATAGTGTTGTGGTAAAGCAGTCTGAGTTCCAAGGTGCTTGCATTGGATAAACCAGTTCCTGTATATTTTCTATGTCAACTGAAGTAACAGAACACTCTAAAACTTTGATGTAGTGACAAGCACTTAAGTAATTCATCTGTATTAGTATTCTGGTTTTATTCATTTTCTCTGATGGTCCTCAACTGTGACCATACCAAAGTATTTTTCTTTAATAATTAACCCAATCTGCATTTTACTCTGCCAGAAAAAGAAGTGCAGGCTCTCAAGATATTCAGCAGAGTTCACTGGTTGCATAGGAAGTAGGGGAGGAAAACTGGCTGTAAGCTCTGTCATAAAGGCATTATAGACTTTAGTGTTCCAAGTTCCTTATAAATAATGAAATTGTAAGTAGTCATGAAATAGATTTTGCCTATTTTACTATCGATATACAAATTAAAGACCTTCCATAATGCATTGTTCATATAGTCAAAATTTTCTAAATGAAGAAGGGAAGTAAATTTTTGTCTTTGCCAGCAAAACAGGAGAACAAAGCCCATTTTGACAATGATGATAGTGAGGATAACAAGCTGGTATGTGGGATGAACAGAAAGAGATTGCAAATTTGATATCAAAGGATAGAAGTAGAAGACTGACAACTTTTCCATCTTCATGATATTACATCAAACCTAGCAGAGTGAAAGCTGTCATTAGAATAAATAAAAGAAACTGAAACAGAAGTTCAAAGCACTAAAAATTATAGATTTTGTGTGGTATGAAGATGATAAGCACTGTGCTCAGTTAGAGAGTTCCCATCACCCATCTGCCTAAATCCAGCAGAATTAATGTGAGATTCTGCTATTGTCTGATCTATTTCTCATTCCAACCATCAGAGAACAAAAGAAAAAAGGAAGTAACTGCAGAAGCAGCAAATGTGTTGCAGAAGCTGTTAAACGAGACAGAGCTGAAGAAGGAGCTTCATACCACCCCCCTCTCGATGTTTCAGCAGTAGTTACATTTGCTCCTTGCTGCAATGACAAGCTCAAATTGTCATCAATAAATGTTGATTTGTTTTCTCCTAATAACAGTAAGCAGCTCCCACTCAAAATCAATTTCAACTTTGTTGGAAAGACACTGCACATTTGTCTTCACCATGACTGAGCTGCATAAAGGAACAATTGAAATGAAAATTAAATGAACAGTAATTGAAAATAAAAAGTGCCTTTTTAAAGGAAAATTAGTACTATGCTGAATTTACAGAAATGTTATGGGGGGGGGTTGCCTTAAAAAAGGTAGGGTTGGGCTAAAAACTTAATTATATAAACATGTGCACATTAATGTACATAATTAAAAATGGACTTTAACCTCAAAAGGATAAAAAGGCTCTTCAGCAACTTCCTAGGCTTTTAGTTCTGGCAAAAGCAGCAGAGTTTCTGCAGTAATTATACATCCAACACATTTGGATATGCTAATTGGATCTAAGTTCTAATTAGTTTCTTTGTGTGACTAAGAATGACAATCACTGAATTAATTTAATGCAGTTTTGTTCTGAACTTAGTACTGTTTTCACTGTGTTTCACACAGAAAACGCAGCCTGTGAAACGCTTTGCTTCACAGGATGTACAGAGTACAGCACAAGTACATTTGCTGTGTTTCACTGTACTTTTATAGGCAATACACTTCAGCATTTAGGTTATCCAACTCTAAGTGTTGCAGGGCTTTGCCAGGGAGTGGTGAGGATCTGGAATGTCTCAGTAGTCCATTCACGACAAGAGAGCAGCTACTCTCACAGTAGTGCTCACAGATACCCTGTGGGGCACCAGAAGAGGCAGAGGGGGCTGCTGTGATCACTTGGTGGTCTTTGTGATCGGATGGGAAACCATCCGATGAAGTGCGGAAACCAAATGGGGATGATTTGTGCTTTTATTTAGAAACAGCCATAGGAAAGATGAGCAATTTCAAGAGATTAATAGGACATCTCCCAGTTTTGTTTCTCCTTGTATCCTGTTGTTGCTCTAAGTTTCTCTGGGGTTCTGGATCTAGTAGAGCCTTGATTCAGTCATTACTTTGTGATTACAAGTATGCTCAGCATTACCCTCGCTCATTCCCTGACTGTAGGATAAACTTGACTTCAGAAGGGCAAGAATTAGCTGTGAATACTTCTGAAAGCTGCAGAGAGAAGTGACTACATTGTTTTAAAGCCATTAGAATCATGGGATCATTTATATTGGAAAAGACTTGTGAGACCATTGAGACAAACATAACTTCTATATCTTTGCAGAAAGTTTTTATTTTTTTTTCTATCTGAGACATTCATTTCTTAAGGAGGCATCTTCAAAGAATAGATATGAGTATATTGAAATAAAAAAAATTAGAAGTTGCTCTAGTCTAATAGCTATAATAAAGAAAACAAATATTTCAGATTATCCACTTCTAAAATTGTTAAATATCTTAAAGTTTGTTCTTTGTTTTCTGTTTCACTTAGAAAGATCTACTAAATACATATACAAAGTCTTTTCACATGAAGAATATGAAATGAAAATAAAGATTTCTGTAAATTTCTGTTCAAGTACAGTCAGCAAAGCCCTCTTCTTTACAAACACTTTCAGATGGTTTGAGGCAACCTGCCATTTCTGTGAGGCTGTGTGAAATTACAGTAATATTTCCATGTTTTCCATGTCTTCCAGTTTATGTTTCTCTCAGATTATGCTGTTGAATTCTCCAAGAGAATAGTCTTAGTAAAGGCCACTGGGCCAAACAATACACTACTGATGTTAATCTTGGTTTGTCAGAGGGAGCAAGAACTTTTGTTCCTTTAAATAGGAGTCAGAAGATGAGCATCCCTGGAAAGGTTTCATTCACAGGCCATGGAGAAGGTGATTCAGAGCAAGAACTGGTAGCTGCAGGTGCCTGTCTCTTTGGCTGTGTAATGACTTCACCTAGGCAATTGGTTTGCCTGCTTTAATTGAGACTCTGCTCCAAAGTCCTCTGAAGTCAGTCAGAAGTGCTTCTGTTGTGTTTTGGATTTAACACTGGCAATTGTGCATGCCAGCTGAGTGTGGTAATGAATTTCAAAAATTATACTGGTTATCTTGGTGTGTGGTGTTAAGGGCTGTGTGGTTGATTGATTTGTTTCTCTGTGCTCAAAAAAAGCATCTACCAAAAAACCAGGCAAGTTACCTTTTCAGAGAAGCTGAATTACAAGACAGTATCTACTGAACCCAGACTGAAAGGTGTATAATCCTAGAGATATTCCTGAGCAATTGCTTCTTCCACAGAGACTCCAGAAATGCAATGGCACCAATGCAAATAATGGCATAGATGAACTTCTTTTTTTAAGTTATCTATTGCAGTACTCTCTCAATGCTGTGGTGTGCAATGGTCTTTTCCTCAATCATCTTTAAAATGTGATTTTTAACCTGGCTTAAAATCACTGCTGTTTCATTACCAATTATTAGTATAAGCTTTAGCTGGTGTAATTCCTTTGTCAAAGTTCCACTATGAAGGAAAGGCTGGAGCAGAGAGAGTGCTAAAATGTTGGTGGCTATTATTTCTTCAATTAGTGTATTACTGAAAGTAAGGTAGAAATATTGCTACAGCTACAGTACTTTTAAATTATTTTCAGTAATATTGAAATCCTCTCTGACCTCTTTTAAAGCCATGCCTATAACTCCAAATCCTGGATGCTGGCATCCATTGCCCACTGGTATTTAAAATCAAAAACTGGTATCCTTACTCGCTTCATTTTCAATTTCAAGATGAATCTGTGCACAAGCCATTCCCTGAGTTTCCATCTCATTGATTCCAGAAGGTATTCTATCGATTTCATACATTCCTGCTTAAAGCCACCTAGTAGGAATGACTAACAAAGTATTACGGGCAATGAGAAAATGATTTTTGTTTTCTCTTTTAGCTTGGCTGCTGGAATCCCGTAACTGGTCTGAATGGGTCACTGACAGACAGAAAGCTGGAGAACAACATGCGAGGAGTGGTTCTGCGTGTGGTGACTGTGCTGGTAAGCAGATGCTTATCCTTCTCCACTTCTACCTCATCTTTTTATTAAGTGCACCGTTTTACCAAGAAAGTAGTTGGTGTTAGAGGGTCTCATTTAAGCAGGTCAAAAAAACCCAGAAAGATGGATAATTTTCCACAAAATAAAATTATTTATCAGTACAGCGCATTTCAGACTGTTTCTTGCCCAGGCACATTCTGAATTATGTAACATAAGCGTGTGAGATGATAAGGGGCAGCTTCAAGTGCCCTGTTAGCCGAAGTTACCTAGCTGAAGCTAATGATTCAATTCCAATCACCTTGGCAAGTTGCATGCAGTCTAACAGAAATTGTCACACTCAGAAAACATTCAAGGTCAGCTTAGGTCAAGTAATGTTACTTAGGTAAAGCATCTACTGTCCCATCCTAGCTTTTAGTCAGCCAGGTTCTTCCCCTTTGTGGACAGCTTATGTTAAGAATGCTCCTTGGTTTAAAGCTGAACAGACAATCTTACGAGGCCAGTGTATTCCCTGCCATAAACTCAGCTTGTGGAGAAGTTTCTAAGTGGGAAAAAAAAAAAAAGAAAATAATGTGAGACATATAGTCCTCTTTGGACCAATGCCCAAATATAAAGTTCATCCAGGGCTGCTGAACTGTCAAGGTTAGATTAAACTATTTCCCTCTTGCTACTCTCTACTTGTGTTTAAGTTCAGTGTCTGAGGGCCCAGCACTTTTTTAAAAAGAATAAGACAATTTTTCAGGGTTTGCAATGCTGACAGTGCACAATGAAGGAAGAGGCTCCGTTAGGTGTGGAAAGTGAAATCACCAGAGCATGTCAGTGTGAAAGACAGAGAAGTTTCATACTCCCCCCACCAGTCATTTTATGGGTATTTAAACACCTGTATCTGTCAGGGTGAACATTCTGTTCCAGCTCTTAGGACATTAGAAAACTTGCTGTGGTACTATGTACAAGACAAAACAAACCAAATAACAACAAAACAAACAACAACCAAAAAAACCACACAAATCTAAAAAATAACCCCAAACCAAACTAAACAACAGCAAAAGACAGCCAAGGAAGGATGAGTGCACAGAAAAAAAAAAAAAAAAAAAAAAAGAGTAGTAACAGAGAGGAGGAAGATTATACTTTTATTGCATGTTCATCAAAATAGCATCATGTTGGCAGTGGCTGGTCTCTGTTTTGCCTGATACTCCTATTAATTGGTTCCGTATAATTATTAGTTGACAAAAATTATCTGTGGATTTTGCCAAGAAAAAGAAATTTGAATTAGAATATTAGCATTGTTTTTAGTAGTAGCTCTTCCTCTCTCCCCATTGTTCCTGCTTTATCCCCAGTTATCTTTGTTACTTTGAGAGAGCTGCTTCTTCTTCACGCTATTATAGCATGAATATTTATAACCTTGCAAACATATACAAAAATAATTACCTATGCTGGTAGGATTCTACAGTAATTATAAAAGCAAAGACAGACGTTTAAAGTTCAACGCAGAGCAAAGGGCATTTCAATCTCCTCACAAGCTTTATATCTTCCATGTACGACAAAACTGGAGATTTGTATTTAACAAATGTGATGAAAATGTGTGATTCTTACCTTGGATGTGAGAGCAGGAGAGATTTCACCAATTAACTTTATTTTAGTGATGATCTTCATTATATTTTCTCTTCCATCTTTCTCCTCATTCTTCAATTGAGTCAATACATTTCTGTTAAAAGTAAAGAATCTATACCGACTGTGAATGATTAATTATTGTTATTAATTCTGCCATTTTCTAACACAATGATCTTGATCCAGGGAAATATGTTAAAATTCAATAGGAATACTTATTTTCTTTTTCATTGAGCGTTGTGAAGTTTACATTCACTTGTAAATTTGCTTTGTTATAAGTTCAAATCTCTCATGCCTTTTTAGATAGCACTCTTTTTCCTCTTCCAAATTCATTTTGTTACACCCTCAGGTTGAAAAGGACATTTTTTTAGGATTCCAGTAGAATTTGAGAGGATAGCAAATTGCAACATCTGGCTTTATACTGCATTATACTAATGAAAGCCTTCTGAAAATCCTAAATGATTGTGACTTATTTCCTCAGTCTTTCAATAAACAATTGCTGAACAATTCCTATCATCCACATCCATCTTCTAATTCCTTTCCCAAAGTAAATTTAATAATTATGAGCTATGTATCTGCAGACTTTAACCAAAATGTCTTTATGAGTACGGCAGAATACAGTATAGCCCCAAACTGGAAATCATCTGGTTTCACTTGGCAGAGAATCCTGGCTCTTCTGCAGTTCATGTGAATGCTCTCCTTTGCATAAATAGCAATAAGAAATATTTCTTTGTGGTTTATTCTGAGGAGAACTATGGTCATGTTTGTGTACATGTAAACCAGTGTTTTAATCTGAGTTGGATTAGTAACACACTTTCTACACTTTTAGAAAAGGTTTATTTTATCTAACTTAAATATCACATGCCTCTGTCTTGGACTACTTCCACACATGAGGCTGAAGTCTGGACTTTGTGTTTGACAAGTTGCTCCCAAGTTCAAATCACTTACTGGTGAATTTCTGAAATGTATTCTGAGTTTCTGAAATGTAGCTCACTCAAAGGTCAGTATAGCTGTTTCGAACAAATTCAGAGTGTCTTGAATGAACAGTTGCCCAAGAAAATATTTAGCTATATACCCATTTTGACTGTCTCAGTTTATTCTCTTTTTCGGTTGTTCAGTTTTATTGAAAAAGACCTAAAATACAGCAGATATTCTCATAAAACCATTTTATTAGCCACAACAATTACTGAATTATTCATATGAACATTGGAAATGGAATGAGATTTGGCCCATTGACAATGAAGAGGCCAACATATATCTGTAAAATCATATTTTCTTATAAAGCCCCTGTTGTTCAAAAAAGGAAAAAGTTTGAATTTCCCTGTTTAAGGCATTAAAACCTTGACTGAAAAGTACAGAGCCTTTCCTGAAAGTGCATAAGGTATAATATCCTAATGGTATAAAAATATCTGTGACTCTGCATGAAAATTCAAAACAGCTCCCAAACAGGAATGTATTTTCATATCTGGAGGGTCCTGAGAAGGCAGGCAGGATAAAGGAAAGACAGATAACAGCAAGCCATGCAGAATTATGCTTTGCCATACATTCCTATACACAGTATCTTGAGAGTTATTGCCCGGGTTACTTGCACAGAGCTGCAGATCGGTCACCCTTGGCTGCAGGTGGGCACTGTGGGGTGTGATGTAGTGAAAGGACTGGCAGAAGGGTAGACAAGCATAGAAAGAAAAAAGAATCAAGAAACATCATTTGCACCATGGAAAGTGTTATCATATGTGGACTAGTTTAATTCTCAGTGATTGGTATTAAATTCGTGAACATTTATTGCCCAGATTAGAAAAGAAAGAAATCTGAAAGCAGACGATGTCTTTAGGGACATTGAGCTGGCAGGAGGTCTGCATCTTCAGTCCCTTTTTCTATTGAATCTACCACTTTGAGAAGATTAAAAGATATGAAGCTAAGGCCTGGTTTTAAAAGCTGAAACGGTCTTTGGAATTTGAATTCCAATACTGACTTAAAGAAAATTAAAAAATAAAAAAAAAGTTTCTTTCCAAAGCTGGAGTAACTCAGAGTGACTGGGGAAAGGACAGGCATGAGAAAGATGAAATAAGACAGTGTTTAAGAATATGCAGAGGAACACACTGTCAGAAGTGATAAAGGATTAAAAATGTCAGGACAAAAAAACATCAGTGAATGACTGTACAACAAAGATCAACCTCAGGAAAGATTATGTGCAGGATACCTCATTAAATATTGAATAACTATTTTATAATAGTGTGCAGTAGTCCCATAGATAATGCTTCTTATTACTTTCTCCCAATATTTTTGGTGATCATTTTTCTCATGCAGTCCTGATCCCATTCCCCACTTTCATAACTGAATGCTGTGGACTTTTGTAAAGTCTCTTCATTCCATCAGGCAGCTCTTTCTCTGCCCTAGTGCCCATCTTTTAAGATAAATAATTTTAATTGAGGCATGTATTATACTCTGTGTGTGTGTGTATATATATATATATGTGTGTGTGTGTGTATATGTATATATATATATATGTATTGGTATATTGGACTACAGTAGTACTCAAAATAGTAACAATTAAAATCATTATAACAAAAGTAGAAAGCAATATTCCTCAGTAGAGGCAGAACCTGTCTTTGTATTCCTCTTCCAACCACCACACTTGTACAAGGGCCAGGTTTAAATTGCTACTGACTGGGCACAGGCTTTTTTTAATAGCTGTTTTATGTCCCTTTGAGCTACCTAGCTTGTATTAAAACAGGTCATAAACCTTACAGGTATTCACTACTGTGATCATTCATTTGACAAGCTTTAATCTCACAGCCTGCTGGGAAACACAGCACCTTTTTTTTTCTTTTTTTTTCCCAATTATTGTTATTTTCAACCCATTTTTCTAAAGTAGCAGGTACTATATACTAGATAAGGTGGATATCAAGTAATTCAAATGTTTTGGGACCTGGCTGGGGCCACAGCTTTGACAGCAAGGTAGGTGCAGTGCAAAGCCTGGTAGGACCAACCTCATCTCCATGTCAAGGGCTACTTCTCGGGGCTCCCTGGCTCTTATCTTCTCACTGACCCTTACCCATCTGCTCTGTGGGCATATTTGCATTCCAGAGAAATTCACAGTTCATAGTTGTGAAACAGAAAGAGGCTCTTGCTCTGACTGTAATTATCCTTCCATACCATGCAAGATAGAAAAGGAGATGAACTGCATGACACAGCTGCCTATGAACTCCTTGCAAGGCTGCTGGAAGGAGTCCAGTGTAGTTCCCAGCAGGTTAATGTACCCATTCCACACTTCTGCTAATTCAGGTATATGAACTATCTGCATTAAAGCCACCATTGTACTCTTTAGACATACTGTACAACACTCCAATCAATTCCAATCTCAATCCATATTCCTGCCATGTGGTTCAGAAAGAGCT